AAACAGGGAGGGACGAAGTCACCGACCTTAGCCAGGCTTTCTATGAGAATTTGGGACTGGTGCATTCAGAGACACATCACTCTGATGGCCGTTCATCTGGCTGGCACAGACAATGTGCATGCGGATCTTCTCAGCAGGCACATCTTCACTTCTCACGAGTGGGAACTGGACCCTCGCACGCACAACCATCTGTTCAGGCGCTGGGGATTTCCCGATGTGGACTTATTCGCTACCCAACAGAACAGGGTGTGCGAGGCTTACTGCTCGAGAGCGGGAATCGGACATGCCTCCCTAGGGGACACATTCATGATCCCTTGGAACAATATGAACTTCTACACCTTCCCTCCGATCCCTCTTTTGATGAAGGTCGTAGCAAAGATAGTGAGCGACCGTGCATCGGGGATACTAGTTGCCCCCTGGTGGCCACGCCAAGCGTGGTTTGCGAAACTGCTCGACATCTCCCGAGGGGAGTTTCTTCATCTTCCGACACTTCCGTATCTTATAACGCAAATGGACGGCACACTTCGTCACCCGGACTTGCTCTCATTGAATCTGACAGCGTGGCGGATTCGATGATTGACCTTGCATTGGGGCCGGCGACGGATTCGAGAGCCTCGAATCCTACAGCTTCTATTAATTCATCGGTATCGACGATCACTTCAACCACTTCGGCCCCGATTCTCAAATCCAACCATGCAGTTGCTTCTCACTGCCACAATCTCTCTGTACCATCCGGTTTGAGACAGACCCCGTCGAATTCGAATCCAACGCTCTTGCACCCTGAGATTCAGCATATTATCGACGCTGCTCTAAAGCCGTCCACAAGAAAGTCATATACGGCTAAATGGAAACGGTTTTCCGCCTTCGCCGAGTCTCATTCGTTCTCCCCACTTGTCTCATCAATTGAACAAATTCTTCAGTTCCTTCTGGAGTTGCATCACTCCAGACTGAAGCCGTCTTCTATTAAAGTGTATACGGCCGCAATAGCTTACTACCGTGGCTTAGTCGACGGATCACCCCTGTTTTCTCATCCTATTCTCAAGAGATTTTTGAAAGGAATGTATAACCTTAATCCATCGATTAGACCGGTTATGCCCACGTGGAGCCTTTCTGGAGTTCTACAGGCTCTTATGAGGGCCCCCTTTGAACCTTTGGCGACTGTGGATCTCCGATTAGTTTCGTGGAAGACAGCGTTCCTTGTAGCTGTCACGTCAGCCCGGAGAGCTAGTGAGCTTTGCGCCCTCCGCATCGACCCTCCTTATCTAAACTTCCATAGAGAAAAGGTTGTTTTACGTCTCGACCCATCTTTCTTGCCCAAAGTCTCTACACCTTTCCATTCAGGACAAGACATTGTACTGCCTGCCTTTTTTCCATCGCCGTCGAATCCCTTGGAAAGATCTTTGCACTCCCTCGACGTTCGGCGTTGTTTAGCCTTTTATCGATCGCGAACGGAGTCTATTCGGCGATCCAATAAACTGTTCATTAAATATTCGGCTAGAGATCAGGGCGACCCAGTCACTCCTCAAAGGTTCTCTAAGTGGATAGTCCACACTATTACCTTGTGCTATCAGTTAGCTAAGCTCGAACTGCCTACAGTTCCCCAAGGCCATTCCACTAGAGCTGTCGCTACGTCTTCTGCATTCGCATCCGGAGTTCCGATCAATGACGTCTGCCGAGCCGCTACTTGGGCGAACCCTTGCACCTTCACCAGGCACTACCGTCTCGATGTTCAGGCTCGACGGGACTGCTCTTTTGGTAGAGCTGTACTCTCCTCCGTCCTACAATGAGGACACCTTCCCTCCTCCTTTGATGGTAAGCTTGTTAATCTACCCATATGTGTGATGCACAGAGGCCACGACGAAGAAAAGCAGGTTGCTTACCTGTAACTGATGTTCTTCGAGTGGCCATCTGTGCAGTCACACAACCCACCCGCCAGCCCCGCTCGGTGTCGGTGAGTGGACTCATTCATTGGTACCGAAAGTTTCCCATTTTTTTCTTGGTACCGATCCGTTTTTTCCTATCTCATACTGAGAATTTTTCCACAAGGGGGTGCACGTTCGGTCGTCAAAGACTGAACAAATGGCGGACGCTCCGCTCTTTATAGCCCATGGGGGAGGGGAGCGGAGCTTCCTGCCAAAAACCGTTAGCTTTCAATCTTCCGGCCAAAGGCACTGCGCAGGCGCAGAACCCATATGTGTGACTGCACAGATGGCCACTCGAAGAACATCAGTTACAGGTAAGCAACCTGCTTATTCCAACAACGATTATTTAACAATTGTGAAGGAATATAGTGCATATTTGGACTGAATGGCCTGTCTACTGTAGCCTACAGCTAAAGGTGAGAGAAAGGAGCGGGGGAGGAATGCCATTTTAAACAGTGACTTAGCTTGGTTTGAGAAGGGAGTACAGGATTTATTCCACAGTGCAAAAGCACACAGAAGCAATGTTTTTCTGACAGGATTTATCCAGATTTTTCCAACACATGCAGGGTAGGTTAAGCATGACATGACATGTGAATGTACTCATTTTATTTATGAGATAATATTGGTCAATATACTTGTGTTTTTATGAAGATGTGACCATTCTAATCCTCTTGGTAGGCAGTGAACAGATAGTTTAAGGATAGTTTTTCTTATCTGGGGATTTTATTGTCATGCAGAGCTGTTAATGTCAAAGAAGGAAAAATGGTAGCACCTTGCTACCAGTCTAAATTTCAGTAGTACTGGGAAGGAATGGAAAAACAGTAGTAACATCTCTGAACTGTGAGATTTCCCCAAGGAAAGTGAGAACCAGTCTAGTAGTTAATTTTTGTCATGTGGGATTAGTATTTTGATTTTCTCATCTTGTGGCTCTATCATGCTGTGCAATTTACTGCACAGGTTGCTCCCATCATAATAAATTATCTCATAACACAGTTCACATAAATGATGGCCACAAATGGGTAAAACCCACGCCATGTTGGCCCCAAGCCATTAAATCATCTTTCTTAACACATCCAACTGGTCTGCTCCCATGTGAAGAGAATGCTGGACTGGATGGACCATTGGTCTGGTCCAGCATGGCTGGTCTTATCTTCTTGAGGGAGTTCTGCATCACAATATGGCCAGAAAATGGCTGGTTTTTGTTTTCAAATTGACATTTGGTATCGACTCTTCCTTCCATCCCCCCTGCAGCTGCCCAACCAGATAATATGTGTGGTGTATATCCAAGGAAAAGTAAAAAGGATATTTGTCTCAGCATCTTTATCAGCTTTTATCTGTTTTAATGGGGATGGTCATAACAGAAGGAGACTGATCTATGTAATGGTAGCCGCATATCCATTGTTCTTCAGTTACAAAACACCACCTGTATTACTCTAGCTAAAATCTAGCTATTCATAGTGCAGAGCCTAACTTCTTTTATGTGCTTCTCTTTCAATTTCACCCTAAATGTTTTGTAAAACATGTTCATTAGCTTACAGTTTAGACACAGTTCAACTGACAAAGGGGTCTGAAAAACTTAATATTCAAGGAGGGGGGAAATCTGGGTGTTTTTCCCCCCTTTTATTTTAACTCAAGAGGAACAAATAGCCCAAATTAGAAACATTTGAACAGTGGTTCTACAGCACTTTAAGGGAAATACAATGCATTTGCAAGTAAAGATTGGGTGGTGAGTTTTATGTTTTGGGGTAGGGGTAGGGGTAGGGGTGGGGTGGTTGGTAGCCTTGCTGGATCTGTAGCTTAAAACATATACTTGGTGCTCAATTTTTCTGCCATGATTGGAATAATTACTGCTTGGCAACCATTTACTTAGACCAAGAAATAGCTGAATATCTCAGTTTTCTAAAAATAAGGACAGAAAGAAGGGTTTGATTGCCCTTTTTTTTAGTTTTGATATGGAAGGTAGAATGTAGCAGTAGCAGTGCAAAGATATCATTTTAGCTGTTTGGTGTGTAACATGCATCTGAAAAGGATTCCAGATTGTTACTGCTGACATTATTCTATTACAGTTTTTTATGGTATTTAGAATCTAAATGTGCTGTCAGGGATCAAGAACCAAGTAATAACTGTGATGACAACAAGCATTTATATAGTGCACCTTAAGTGTTTATAATGGTTTACATACCTTGTGGCAATTTGTGTGACATGAAATTCCACTGTGAGTTAGTTAATCTGTAGTGAAGCTCCCATTTTGAATATGCAATGCCAGCTGGGGTTGTTGTGTTAAACAGTCCCAGCAAGCATGGTTTTTACAAGGGTTAAAGAACCACGCTTACAAAGTTTGCATCACATGACTCCCAAGTGGGGATTGCTGTGAAACCTAGTGCCACAGGTGTCACAGTTTGTCCTGGGTTAAGTAACCCTCAATGAGCCATCTGAACACACTCAAAGTAATCCTTAAAGCTGCCCACTAAAGTTTTGGGAGTATTATTAAATGTGGGGTAAGCAGTTGAGGCTGTGAGAAAAGTGTTTTCTTTAAGGCCACTTACTAAGTTCATGGCTGAGGTGAACCAGAGTCCTTCCTAGTTGCAGGTCAGTTCCTTAGCTATAAGGGCTTGGATGGTGCAGTGGTTTAAACCGTATTGCCACTGGGCTTGTCAATTGATAGGTTAGCAATTCCAAGCACATTCCATGTGCCTCGGCATTTAGTTGTGTCGGTCACAGCCCACGGAAAATGTCTGTGAACAAACGCTGGCTCCCTTGGCTAAGAAATGTAGGTGAGCATCGCCCCCCTAGAGTTGGGCATGACTTAATGTCATGGGGAATCCTTCACCTTTTTTACCTCGTTAGCTATAGCTTTGCCATCTTGCAGCCCATACCCTTGGCATAGACTTTTAAATATCCCATTGAACAAATCAGGCTATTTATTCAATCTCTGGTAAACAGAGATACATGGCAAGCAGGGTGCATCATCTCTGATGGATCACATGTTGCACAGACCTAATAGGAATTTTATAGCTGATGAATTAGGGTTTTTCTTTCTTTAAAGAAAAAAATAACTGGAAATCAACTTTCTTTTAGAGAGAAGTACCATGACTGTTCCCAGGACTTCCATAAGGCATTTTTGCAACACGATAAAAATAGGGATGGCTGCATATCATTGGGCAACCTACGGAAGATACTGGAAGATTTTCACTGTTGCCTTGGCTATGAACAGTATAGTGAACTTCTGTACAGGTTATTATGGTTGTCATAACTTTAATGTATCTGGCCTAGTTTGGTACATTTATTAAGCTTATGTGCAATTAATAGACTAACTTCCTGATCTTTAATATATTGATTGTAACATATGTCAAATTTATGTAAATGCATAATTGGGGTGGCATTTCTTTTTCAATCTGCCTTTCACTGAATGATCAGCCAATTAGCTTGTTCATTTTGAATTGAGTGGGATTTAAACCTTTTGCCAACTCCAAAGATTCCATTAATTTTAATCTAAGATGTCTTTAGTTTCCAAAGAATCTGTGTTCCCTGTGACCTCCCCACACCCCGTTCACAAGTAGTATACCCAGAATGTCTGCAAATCCCAACTTGTTCTGTTCCTTCAGTGTGCCTTTAACAAATTAAACGGTCCAAAATTACTAGGATATTAATTTAATTTAATTTCATGGTTGGATTTAGAAAATGTATTTTTACTTTTACTTTCCAAAAGCTGAAGTGGGAGACAAACCAAGGATAAATTACTCCGCAACAATTTCAAAGACAATGCTTTTGTTAACTGTCATTTGTCCACAATAAGTATAGTTTATTGCTCATTTTTGAGTCTGTACAATAATAATAATCTGTACTTAAACAACTTTGCAAATATAAGATTTTTGTATATATGCAAAATAACATCAGGCTTTTTTTGTGAGCCCAATGAATAGGCGATAGGAGCAGAGAACACAAGAGACCTGTTAAACATACCCTCCCCCCCAAAAAAAACCCTCTACCTTGCTATGTGGAGTACATCTTAAACTGCCATTGATTATATGAGAGTATAGGATTCAGTAGAATTGCACTCCAAATACTTTTCCCTTTTCTTTTGGAAGGAGCAGAAAAGAAACCTAAACAAAATCTTTTTACTCCACCTATAAATTGAGTGATTTAAGCTGCCTTGAATTAAGCCTCTAATAAGAATTTTTGCTGCATGCTCCTTTCCTCAAAGACTTTGATGATAAACACTTCCATTCATTGTAATTTTCTGCAGACTAGTCCTTTCCAGATCGGAAAGAGTCTGTTCTCCTCCCACCCTGCCTTAAATAATAGAGTAGATTAGCATATGCATTTGGTTTTATTACTAAAAATTTAATACCAACTTGGCAATTTATTCCTCCACTGAAGTGCGTTGATTATTTCTTTTTCCACTGAGTCTCTAACATCTGAGCCAGCTTGACACAGGCTAATGCGTGGATTGGAGTGCTCTGCAGCTGCAAGATGCAAAGCAGTGCTCTTGAATGTGTGTGTGTGCGGGGGGGGGGGTGAATGGTTAGCAGCAGATATTTGGGTCTCTGCATTTTATTTCTTTTTCCATCCCTTATCAAGGCTCCTTTTTGTTAACACAGCTTCTCACCCATTTAATGAGTTATTGTTGCCAATGAATATTCTGGCAATAGGTCATTTTGGAAAGAGTTATCACAGTGATTTACAGTGGAATCAGACCACAGGAGGTACTTCAGTTTGATCATTTAAAGCTTCAAATCTACACTATTGGTATTGGCTGAATTTAAGGGTTTGCTCCATTCCTTGCAATATTCTGTGTGAGGATATATGAGAAAGAAAGCAGGGTCTATCCTGCCATGAGGCAGAGTAAGACCTCCCTGTGGGTGACAGAAGAGGAGCAAATGGTCAATTATTTCCTTTATTCTTGTATTTTTGCAGTAGTGTTGGGTAACTTTTAGGTTTTCCGTTCAGGCAACAGTGTTTCTTGGCCTAAAGGTATACAGGTCCTAAAGCAAGAATCAAAAAAGAGCACAACTTTGCTTCCGTGGTATGGATCTGGGGATAGGAAAGATTGGCATCTTCAGAGGGCTGGCCACTGCTAAGAAGGACCATCGGCAGCCACCAACTACCTGCTCCCCTCTTACATTGGTGGGGCTTCCCTTCCCTCTCCTGACACTGCACCACTACTTCTAGTGGCAGCTTCTTGCTCTCCACCACATAGAGGCCGAGGATGGTAAACCACTCCTTGTTGCTATGTAATTCTTACCTACTGTAGTAAACAAGTGAGAGGCAATGGTGACAAGAAGCAGCAGAGTTTGGTCTCTCTATAGCAGCAACCATATTTTGCTGCCACTGCCACTCTTCTGCTTGCTCTGGGATGGAGGTGAGGGGGCGGAACACAATTGCAGTTGGGGGGTAGGAAGAGCCTTACTGTCTGGGGGTGCACTGCGGGGGTGGGGGGGCTTTTGCTTACAGGATTCATAACCAGGAGCTGATCCTGTAAGGGAGAACAGCTAGAGCCCCAGAACCAAACCAGAACTTCCCCTGCTGGATTTCCTTGTTGCCAATGTGGAGGCAGAAATCTGGTGAAAAAAGAGCTGCCTGTAGCATATAACTTGGCAGGCCATTTTGCAACTTGCAGGATGAATTACTAGTTGGTATGCCTCATTTTTCTGAGAAAATGAGTTGCTGACTAGGGCTCAGTGATGCATCATTTGGTTTCGTTCAATATCAGTAGCTACAAATAGGGTAACAGATTATTAATGCCCATGGTCACATGTGCAGTCACTCCAGGGCAGAGCTGGAGTGCAACAAAGCAATGCCCAACTAATACGAACCTGCAGAATTCTAAAACTGTAATAGTTGGTTAGGATAGCACAGATTTTAAAAGTTGACCAGAGTACATAAATTACTTTTTAGTTCTAAAAGCAACAGTTTCTAATGTTCTTTGTAGGGAAAATTCTTGATAATAATTACAAAAGTGTAAACCTGGAATAGTTCAAGTAGAATAAGTTGTTCTAAATTTTGAAATATAAGACTCGTGGAAATCAGAATGCTTTGTTATATCCTCAGCTTTTTCAGGAAATGGATTCTGAGTAGTACTTGGACAATGATAATTCAGGATCTCATCTGAGGCTGTGGCTTGAAAAAGACGGGTAAAGGGGTCAAAGTGGCTTCTGAACCCTCTGTCTGTCAGGTGGTTCCTGACAGATACAAATCCCTATACCAAACCACAAATTACTTGCTCAGATTAACATATGCATTTTTCTAGCTTGCAGAAGCCCAGCTACAGAGTATGATAGGGCTCCACAAAGCAGTTTTTAGATCTCTCAGAAGACCATTTCTTAAAATTCTCTTGAGAACATCTGTTCAGAAACAACTTTGCAGAACATCCTTTTCTGTATCTTGCAGGTGCAGTTGAGTGGGGGTGGGGATTCTTCCTTGAAAAGTGAAGTTAGAAAATGATATATATCAAGCATAAACACATTCTTTTCCTTCTCTTTGCCCAATATACAAAGGGTTCTCTTCCCCTTAGTCTCTCTCAAGATAAGCTTCAGAGGATGTCACTGCAGGGCATTTTATGCCAAGACTGGCAAAAAGCACACTCCTCTAACAGAGCCACCCTTCTCAGTTCAGAGGGCAGTGCTAGAGGACACTTGATATACAATGTCTCACTTCTTCCATATTAAGAATCATGGAAAATGTCTTATATCAAGACAGACAATTGGCCCATCTAGCTCGGTTTGTTTCTTTACCAGGGGTGCAGAACCACTGGCTCACAGGCCTAAACTCAAGCCAAAGAGGTTCCTAATCTGGGTTGCAGAGGGCTGGACACCATCTTCAGTCCCCTCTTCACTAAGCCCCATCACTTGAGAAAGGAGAGATAATATGGAGATCCCCCTGCAGACTGTTCCCAGTCCTACTGGAAATAATTGGAAATAGCATGGTTATATGAAGGAGGTGAAGGACTTGGGAAGTGCTCATGGGTTTGGTTTATGCAAGTGGCTCTTGAGTTCTTCTTCATGGTCTCCATGCATCACATAAATGGGTGCTGAGCCTGCACAGTGCCTCTGTTTGGGAAGTTTCTTCTAGCTAAGCCTAGAATTTTCAGCAGAGTCTCACTCCACTCCTCTCTAGTGTAAATAGAGGCTCCCACCATTTTCTCAGTTTGCTTTCGGCTGCCATTTGAAATGCCTTGGGATTCCTAGCATTCCCTCCGACGTGTACCTCACAATTTTACCAACTTCTTCCCTTCTAAATTATATTCCCCTTACAAATCTACCTTTACCCAGCCCTCCCCCCAAACCCTTCTATCATCTACCTTTCCTCAAATTCTCCCTCTCTCTACCCTTTCTCCCTCAATGGCCTTCAAATTGGCTTCTGAAAGTGGGTCAGATGTGGCATAAAAATTCCACCCAGTGATAGGCACTCGCTTTGTTTTCCCTTGGTGAGAAGCATTGTGTTGACAAGTGCCCTCATTGCCAGGCATTTACAAAGCAAATCCAAAAAAAGAGTTGGCCATCTGAAGATGGAAATGTGGATGAAGGCTCTCATCACTATGCAAGCTGTTACCAATGACTCAAAAAGCCTCCTTTCTACCTCTTGGGAGGCTTTGAAAAATTGCCTGATGTCTGCATCAGCAGGTATGCTGAAACTGGCTTTTTTGAAACCCAACCAACCAACCTCCTCCTGTGCTACCAAAAAGCACAAGAAGGAAAAAAAAAAACACAAAATGGTGGAGGAGCCCAAAGGGGCAAAAAAGTCAGGTAAAGAGAAGTCCACAAAAAAAAACCTAGGCACTGCTCACTGGTCGCTAGTGAGTGCTGCAGTTCACGTACCCCACCAGTGGCCCCAGCTACCTCCACAACTTCAGCCACATGATTGATCCATGCCACCCTGGCTGTGTCAACTCCAGCCACACTAACCCAGCCAGTAAAGGAGGCAGGTGCTTGTGGGTTTGGCTTCTGCAAGTGGCTGCTGAGTTCCTTCACATTATATACCATTTGCACTCCAATGGAGATGTGAGTGGAGTCTGAAGCATGCCAAGTCCTGTTCTCCATGCAGACAGAAGCACTGAGAAGAGAAGAAATGCTGGGGTGGGTACAGTAACAGGAGAAAAAGGCTTCAGGGCAGATCCCTTCCCCCTTGGTTCAGAAGGCCAAGCTGGCTTGGTCCTGAGAACAGTCTACCTCTGGACAAAAGAGTTTGTTCATCCCTGATCTACACTGACTGGTAGCAGCTTTTCAGGGTTAGGGGTCTTTCTCAGTGCAAAATGGAGGTGAGTAGAATCTTAAACCCAGGAAATTTTGCTTTGGCCCTTTTTTGCCTGAGCTGTGACCCTTGCCCCAGGGCTCCCAATCTGAACTATGTCTCTTTATTTCCTCTCTTTTGCCACAGTACACTTCTTTCAGCAATGAGAGAGGTTTTGGAGACAGGTTGAATCCTGTCACCCAGAACACTCCTTATATTTCCCTGAAAAATACTGAACAATTATGATAAAGCAATGTGTTTGTGTCCTTTTCTTTGTTAGTAAAATAAATGCTTTTGCCAAACATTCAGAAAGACCTCATCTTCATTCTATTGGTCATATCCCTTCTAAATGGTACTCCTGAAAGGGAAATTCCTTTTAATTAGTATGTAACAATAGCATTAAGCAAGAGACAGTTAAAGCAGCATGGCTAGGTTTGAAAAAACACCAATTATTTGAGTTAGGTCTGGTTCACACTCACATAACACCGCCTAGAGTCCCACATATTTGGTTCTTCAGCATTTGGTGACTCGCAGCTGAATGTGTGAACTCCTGTCACTGTATCAGCTGTCGTGAAAGATGATACAAAAGTTCTCTTGTAATGTTTCATCTGTAACAGCTACCTTGCACATGCATGTTCATACTTCATAATAAAAGCAAAATAATGAATGTGCATATGTAAAAGAAACCCTATTCTTTCCTGGAGATGCAAAATACTGCAGAATGTTTAGCGTTAATCTTTACTGTAGTTGCTATTTACAATTTGCTTGTGCCAGCTCCTCTTGAGTAGATGGATATAAAAAGCCTCCTTGCCTTTGGATACTCAACAAAGCTTCAACAAATTGCTGATTTTCCTTAAAGAGTTTCCTCTTGCCTTCAGCTTTTAGTTGCTGAGCTTAAGCAGCGGATATTGAAGCCCAGGAACAGGACAAATCCCTCAACCTTGATCTTTCCTGAATTCTTTAATTTTTGCTGGAATACGTTAGGGTTCTTTTTATATCATAATGTGTTTTTGGGTTATTTGCCAATCAAATCTTTCAGAATATGCAAGTTAGAAATCCAAATAACTGAATAATCAGTGTAAACATATGCAAATGGAAAATTGCTTATTGCCTGGTATTGTAGCTGAGCAAAAATATTAAAAAGGAAAAACAAAGGAAACCCCTCAGCTGGCTGGCATGAGAATACACTCATCAATTTAAAACTAGTCATGTAGCAATCCTAGAACTATAGAAAGCCCTATAATGGAATGATTAGTAGCAGCAGCTTTAGCTGCGATACTTTGGAAATAAGAAACAAATCTTCAGTCTTTTCTTTCTTTTTTCCCTTAGCTTAGGAATTAGCATACAGGACAACAAGATTTCATATTTTGATTTTCTAAGAGCTATTGATGATCGGGGAGCATTCAAACGATGGAAAAGGAGCAGTGTTCCACCTGTACCACCCATTAGTTTTGTGCAACTCAGCATAGAGGAAGCCATGGTGAAAATAAAACAAATAGTTACAGCTTCATCAGATTTGTTATACAAGGTCAGTATCATGCAAGCACTGTAATTTACTAGGAAAATAGGCATCATTATGACAAAGAGAAGGAGGGCAATTTCATGATCCTTATTCAGATCCCAAAGATACATACAGTGTGAAAGACTAAGGGCAAATGTTGTACACAAAGGGATCTCAAGAAATATATATGGGAGAGGAGTCCCAAGAGTGTCTATTTTGGCTGATGAAGTAGCCCTGTCCATTCTCTGAAATGGGAATGACTGGGTTCATAACTTGGAGTATAAGTTGTTAGCATCTGAGCTGGCAGGAACTGATCAAGAAAGGGTTCTTGGGGTTATGGTGAATATGAAAATGGAAATGAAAATGTCAGCCCTTTGTGTGGCTACTGTGAAAAGGACAAACTCCATGTTAGAAATAATTAGAAAGGGAACTGAGAATACAACTGCCAATATAACACTACCCTTATACACTTCTGTGGTGCAGAAGAGGGCAACTAAAATGGTCAAGGGGTTGGAACAACTCTCTTATGAGGAAAGATTGCAACAGCCGGGATGGTTTAACTTTGAGAAAAGATAGGGAAGGGGACCCAGTGTGTACAGAATTATGCATGGTATGGAATAAGTGGAGATGGAGTCATTTTTCTTTCTCTCCTATAATACTAGAACACAAGGCCATCCCAGGAAGCTGATTAGTGGAAGATTTGGGATAGATACAAGAAAGTACTTCTTCACACAGCACATAATTAAACTATGGAATTCACTTCCAGGACATGGCCATCAAGTTGGATGGCTTTCAAAAGGGAGTAGACAAATTCATTGAGGAGAAGGCTATTAGTGGCTATTAGACCTGATGGCTATGCGGTACATCCAGCATTGGAGGCAGTTGTGCATTAGTTGAATGTGTGTGGGTGATAGCTATTGCACTCATATCCTGCTTGTGGCATCCTGAGGGCAGTGTGTGGGTCATTTTGTGAAGAGAATGCAGGAGTAGATGGGCCCTTGGTCTGATCCAGCCTGGCTCTTCTTATGTTCTTACCTTCTTTTCATTTGACTCAGCTGAGCTAGTGAAGACACACAATCAGTGCCTGGCAGTGGTACTGAACTAAATAAGGGGCAAGAAACTGAAGTTCAGCCTAGACAAAAGAGAGGTGACTGGGAGATCTTCTGTTTAGAGGAGTAGTATTCAGTGTGTGTTAGATGGGGTTGTACTGTATTTCCTTTGAGGGATCAAATGTACTGGCTGGATTGAATCAGGTTATTTCCAGTCCATGTAAATTTAACATGTATTCAATCATTTCTGTTCAATTTCTTGATCAGTCCATGATAGTTTTCTTCAAACTACAGTAAAATTTGCATGTAACTTTCTCTAACATACACATTTTTCGTCAGTTTTTGATACCTATAAAGAAACAGAGTGATACATGAATGAGACTTAACACATGTTTGCAAATACTTGTATTTTCCTTGTAAAGCTCGTTTGCCACCCCATAATGTTTAGAAAGAGTAGGCTCCATTGCTTGTTAAATGGCACCTTTCTCTCTCTCTCCTCACCCTGGCTGGACTCTCAACCATTGCTAAAGACCCAGGGCTCCTTGGTTGCCTTTGGTTGCTATGGAGGCCTACTGTAAGCAACCATCCCATCTGACACTCTAGAACAGGGGTCCTCAAACTTTTTCAATAGGGGGCCAGTTAAAGGTGGCGGCTACACATGTGGGCCGGTGAGATGGGGGTACCTGGGGCGTGGGCCAATGAGGTGCTGTTGGGCACCTGTAAGGCGGCATTGGGCACGTGCGGCAGTAGTTTGCTCATTTGGAGACCATCTCCAATCAAGGGAGCCACCACCTCCCCACGCACATGGGCAGTGAACGGTGGCACGGGCCAGATGGATGGCCATGGCAGGCCGGATCCATCCCATGGGCCGTAGTTTGAGGACCCATGCTCTAGATAATGAATCCTGTTAGAAGAGAAGCAGCTCTTAGGACAGCTCAGTTAACAAAATGTTTGAACAAGAATTCACTGGGAAATTCTTTCATATGTAGGATACTTGAGGCAGCAAATGGATGTGCACTGCCTATATATTTATCTGTATCATTCAGGAATAGTCTTGCTGGAGGGAACTCACTTTGTCAGATACCAGCTAGCGAGACCTAGATTTCTTTCCCTTGTTTCTTTTTGTAGGCCTTTTCTGCTTTTGACAAGGACCACATAGGGGCAATCTCAACCCTGGATTTTCGGCAGGTACTTCATCACTTCTGTTTTCCACTCTCAGAAAGGCAGTTCAACCATCTCCTCAAACTGCAACGACTTCGTGGTGAGCACTCCATAGACTGGAAATACTTTCTGCAAAAATTCAACTTCCTCTCAGAGGTAATAGCAGCAATAAGACCCCATCAAATGGAGTTGAGTGAGGGGGCATCCCTTATCCCCTGGTCAGAAACTGGTTTGGTTATTTCTCTCTCTCTCTCTCTCTCTCTCTCTCTCTCTCTCTCTCT